TCTCTCTCTCTCTCTCTCTCTCTCTCTCACACACACACACACACACACACACACACACACACACACAATTGAAAAGGATTTCTAATATAATTTAAGACTGCCCCAAACAATGAAAGGATAATCATAATTAAATGAGAGTCCATGAGTTAAGGGTCCAATTCTGAAGCAAGAGAGCTATAGGTTCAAATCTTGGCTTTGCCACTTACTGGTTTGTCCCATAGCAAGTTACTTAACCTAGCCAAGCCTCAGTTTGCCATCTATAAAATAAGCATCATAACAGTATCTGCCAATAGGGCTTTGATGGGAATTAAACACTTAGCAAGCCTTCTATAAATAGCTATCCATAGTGCCTCCAATTAGCATTAAGAAATTTGCAGCTCTGCCAAAGGGTCCATGTCAAGGAGGGTGAGTGAGCTAGTGAGCATACTAGTGAGCTAGTATGGGGGTACCGCGTTGGACTGGTTTCCAGTGAGTGGGTCCAGGACACGTAAGCAGATGGCAAGTGGGCAAAGCTACTCATTCCTCTGAGTAGCAATGAAATTATCTGGCTTCTTGCCACTTTTCCAATAGAGAATGTGGTGACAAATTCAAACTTTTTGCTACTCAATCATTTTTACTTTGGAGAAGTCTCACTTATATGAATATGTTATTTCTAACAAGAAACAATAATTTCATAATAGGAGAGAAACACTCAACCCCCTGTTGTAGAACCCATCAATTTTGAGTTTTATTTATGAGACTGCCCCTGAATAACTTTGATAAAATTAGACCATATAGTCCATGTTCTTACATTGTAGAACATATTGTATTGTTTGTATTAAAGTGATATGGACTTTTATTTGTGTTTACAGACAAGAAATATAAACGAATAATACCTGTGTTTTGCTGGTCTTTACCACTTAAATTATAGGGAAGTGAACTTACTTTATGATTCTTTAAAGGGCATTTTGGTTAATGTTGCCGATGGTTTTATTAATGTGGATAACTTTGAGGAAGGAATAAACTTAGTAGGTGTGACTAGCAAGGTATTTCCAATTATGACATTTTATCTTTTTATTTTATTAATATAAAACAGTTAAATGCTTTGCAATTGATCCTAGCTTAATATTATCATTGTTTTAATATATTCAAATTGCAGAGTTGGAAATCTGCAATGTATGTACTGTGTTTTCGTTTTGTTTGTTCGAGTTTTTTTTGTTTTGTTTTGCAGTGGCTTTTTGTTTTTAGAGGTAGAAGGAACTTTTTTTTCTTCCAGTTTTATTGAGATATAATTGACATACAACACTGTATGAGTTTAAGGTGTACAGCGCAATGATTTGACTTACGTACATCATAAAATGATTACTACACTAAGTTTAGTGAACATTCATCATCTCACATAGATACAAAATTAAAAAAATAGAAAAACAAATTTTTACTTGTGATGAAAATTCTTAGGATTTACTTTTTAACAACTTTCATATACAACATACAGCAGTGTTAATTATATTTATCATTTTGTACATTACATCCCTGGTACTTGTTTATCTTATAATTGGAAGTTTTACCTTTTGACCAACTTCATCCAGTTCCCCCTCCCACCCACCCTTATAATGGGATAGTGACTGGAGGATTGGAGATAGAATTCTAAAGCCAACTAAACTGAACTGTACTATTATATTGTCCTCCGGGGCTTGACTGAGTTTAGTGTAGTTTAACTAAAAACTTATAAAATAATCCAATCTATTTAGAATAAATTATAGTACCAGTGTTTACTAAATAGTTTTCAAAGAGGAAATATGCCTTTATGCTGAACAAATATTGTTAGAATTTAAACAAGTTATCAATATTTGATTTTTGTATTCCTTAATAGGCATATATCTAAATAACAAACAGTAGCCCCAACTGAGATAAATCCATTAACCATATTTGAGAATAATTTGAGATTTATTTATTTAACCACATAACCAGTTATAAATCTTCCTAAAGTCTATTTTAGTATACAAATGTTTTTCTACTATTTCTAATGCTTATAAGATTTTGTGATAAACTATTAAATGTTTTGGTCAATCAGAAGAGATAGAAGTAACCAGCAGTGATTAAGAAAATATTAAGTTTTCTGGTTACATTTAAAATAGTATAACATATATGTAATATGTCTTTTTAACATGTAATTCAAGGTTTCATATTTGATACTTGTTTTAACTTCCTAAAGTAAGATGCATCCTATATCTTTCATCCAAATAGAAATCTAGTGCTAATAGTCAATTTACTTGTACAGATTCTTTGGTTACAATGCAGACAGGGAATTTAGGATTGTTAGAGATACATGGGCTTCATATAAAAGTTTAGATTTTTAAAAATGGTCAAGTAAAGGTCAATTGAAAATACAACCTCTGAGAAAGAACTTCTTTTGAATGTTCTCTCTTTTCACTAAAGTCTAGGGTTAGAGAGAGTTGGATCTGTTGGGAAAAATATTAGTCTTTTAAAGCTATCAAGTAGAGTGATTTCATCATTTCATAACATCGTCTCAAGTACCAAACGAACCAATACTACTGCTTTCAGTAGTTGAACATGAAGGTGTCTCTCTCTTAAGGGATGAGGGTATTATCTTAGTAGCTGAGATGGTTGAAGGACATCGCCATGATTATCCCAGAGTCTAGGAAATGGAGCTCAAGAGGAGGGCTGATTCTTTTGCAGCCAACAGATGAACAGGAAAAATTGAGCCATGGCCCCTGTGAAGTCAACCTTAGAATTTCCTCTTGGAAACCCAGATGAAGCAGAGACTCTTGAGCTGTGCCATAGAAGCAATTCCAGAAGAAGCCATCGGAAGATGGAGTAGGTCCTTCCCAGACTGAGTGGTGGCAAGATGCCTTGAGTCCTGAATGGCTTCCAACTAGCTCGCTTCTCCTACTGCTCCTGCTTTTCTCACCTCCCTGAGGGCACTCTGGGGAGAATGGAGCACAGGGTATTAGCGCCATGTAAATATGCAATAGCATACTAAAGGTTTGGCATTTCAAATTAGATTCCACTGGACTGACGGTGATGGTATACTCACATAGAAGCCTGGTTGTTTGATGTTCATCCTGTTTATCCTGTTTTAAATTCAAGCACTGTAATACATTTTTGTTTGTATCTCAAACATTCCCTAACTGCAATCAATATCACTTAATAAAGTGATAGTGATTATAGTCCAACGCTCAACTTTTACCATCTCTGCAAATGACACACATTCTTTAGAAAAAATATGGAGCCAATTATTTCCCAGAAACCACACTTTTCTTGACTCTTTTCCTGTTTTCTAAGAATTGGATAACGGTTAGAATGATAGATGTTTTGTCTTGTTTCCTTGAAGTGATGTAATTGTATACAGGTCTACTCTTCTCTACTACAAGGTTCCACGTCAGAGCTTAGAGAAAACAGCTTTATTTTAGAGCTAAATACATATTTGTAACTTTCCATTGCTTCTTCAGGCCAAAATAATAATTAAAACAAAACCCACCATGCATACAGCCGTTAATCTTAATTCATAATTGAAATACACACTGGCTATTCTAATGTTATACTCTCTGCCCTTTTTTCTTTTTTTGGAATTTTTATGGTGTGTGTTATTAAGATATGTTCCTCGTATATGACTTAGAAAGTACATATGAAATCAAAAAGAAAATAATTATCACTCAATTTCATAGATCTCAATTTTACTGTTAATATTTTTGTACATCTCTCCACATCTTGAATATACAGATATTCATAATTTTATATATGTCTTCTCTACATACTTGCATATATACATTCACTCTAGGAGATACAAAAATGAAATGAGCAATCATCCTGTTCTAGAGGAAATCAGGTAAAATAAAATATGATTAGGGAGAGAAAGTAGTAAGTAATTAGAAAGCTGCAGACATTTTGCTATCAAAGTTCAAAGGCAGGAGAAATTCTCTTTGGCTGGAGGACCCAAGGAAATTAGCACATGTATTCTTTTTTTTTTTTTTTTTTTTTTTTTTTAAAGAAAAAGAGAAAAGTTGAGTCGTTGTCTTCTAAAGATATCCATGATTAGGTAATTCTCAGATGATTTATAACTTAATATATTGAAAAACTTCTACAGTTAATTTGTAATTGCCACATTTACAAAGAAACTTTTGGGTAACAATCTTTTAAAAACATAGTTCAGTGTTACATTTAGGCCCAAAGTTCATTTATTTAAATCACCTATGACATTTGCAAAATTTTTTCAAACGTAGGAAACTGCCGTTACTAATATGGCTTCATTCATTTATACCTGCAAAATACTTGTTATACACTTAAGTACAACTGGAACAATAAGATTACTTGCACAGATGAAAGTGAAGCCTTTCCTTTCACGTTAAAATTAATATTTATTTCACACTTATGAAAACGTTTTGCAAACAACTATTAATGGTCTTGACTGTAACAGTTTATTGCATTTTTCTGCCCCTTTTTTTGAATGTTAAGTACTCTACTTTGGAGTTTTAAGTTCTACTTTTCCTCTTATCTTCAAATAGACTCTTCAGCATATATACTTGAATGGCTGACACTACCACCATTACCACTAAATTAACCATAGACCAGAAATTTACTCTATCAAAGTTGCTTTCTTGTATGTTTCGATCACGAGCTTCAAATGCTCTAAGCAGAGTTTGGATATGACCACTTTTGCTTAGTCTGGACTTGATACTGTTGATGGACTCCAGAATGTCTTCCAGTTTCATATCCAACATATCTGTGCCAGTAATGTATTTCTTCCAGTCCTCTTGTTCTTGCTGTTCTCCCATATTATCCAGGATTAATTCAAAGAAAATCACCTTCTCAGAAATGGTGCTGAATGTATTATCAAAGCAGAACATGTAGTCACCGCCTTCAGTCTCTATCGTGTGAACTCCATCTGATTTTCTTTGTTCAAAAACTAAGGTTCTTCCTTTTGGAGAGGCAAGGTGGAAATCAATATCTAATCCTGCTCCATCTAAAACTTGGTACTCGATCTCCAGCGAGGCCTTCAGGGGCATGGGCTGGTAGAAACACTCCTTCTGGCCGGCCGGAAGAGTGAACGTGAAGTCGCTGTCTAAGGAGGGCGTGAAGCCGGCCGCCCCAGGCAGCAGCTGAGAGGCCAAGAGGACCACCGGGAAGGGCAGCCAGATCTTGACGCCCATCCCTGCCTGGGCGATCTCGGGCTGGAAAAGGCGTGGGAGGCGTGGGTTATAGGCGCCTATGCTCCGCTTTTTCCTCCTTGGACTCCTCGTGGTTGGCAGGGCAGCACATGTATTCTTTTTGGTTCATTGTAAAATAATGACCACTTTGACACTTCCTGCACGCAGGGGCCTCAGGAATCAGGAGCTGCAGATACAGATGCAGGCTACACTTCCTGGCTAGCACAGCAGCAGCACAGAGAGGGAGCTCATGAAATATTTGTTGATATACAGAAGAGTGAGCCAAGTTTCCCACTTTTAAACAAGCAACCATTTAATTAATCCATGCTTGGACCAAAGAAGGTACTTTAAATGACCGGCCCTTTTGAGTTAACTGGACTTCACCTCCCATCCTCTGGCCTCACTCTGGCCAGTCCAGGCAAGCCCACATCTAGGCAGGATGCCGAGCAGGAAGAGGTGAACCACTGATGCTCTCAGATGCTCTCTGTTCTCAGCGTTGCCCAGATACTGGTGCTGACTTATTCTGCTTTATCAGGTTCCTGAACCCTGCTGCCTGCTCAGACTGATTCTATCTTCCTGGTCTTTTCTCTTCCCTGTTGAGCCTCCAAGGTCTGTTTGAGCCTAGACCTGCCTAGTACTTCTAGGACTGTTTATTTCTCCAGGATTTAATTACTTGCCTATTTAATTCCATATCTCTTGAGCTCTACTCTGTCTGGACATAATTAAAAAATAAATAGCCAAACATTAAATAAGTGATCTTATTTCATACACAATCTAAGTAATAAGCTCTGGCCCCAGGATGCGAGAGCCCTGTATGATTATCCCTCCCAGTAAAGTATATAGATTTTTAACAACTACCTTCCTCCTCAAGTCATAGTTTGTTCTGTTCTACCAAAATAATTGTGAACGTTCAAAGTAAGACCCTTAGGCTTCTAGACCTGTAATTTTTCTTTTGTTAATAAATCTTTCTGCTAACCATAACTTCTGGTTATCTTCCTCTTAAGCCTTTTGAGGTAACTAGCTCAGACTCATAAATTTACCAAGTCTTTATAACTTAGAGGATATTCACAAAGGCATTACCAGATTTTAATTTGCAGTGAATCGTGGTTACTGGGAATGGAAAAGGGAAACTATTGGAATTCATAGATCTATTTCTCACTTCAGCAATTAATAATAAAATGGGACTTTTACTAAATCACATTTTTACCTTTCAGGTATTTCAATTGTTTGAATATTTTGCTTAGCCAACTTTTGGATTCAGACATGGTCAATATTATTTCCTATTCAATTAGCATATACTGCTTATGAAGAAAAATTTTATCCTATTTTCATTTTTCTTTCATAATTTCCATTCAACTGTCCTTATTTCTAGGGTCAGAGAATAATGTAAGGGCTTTTGAAATTGTTTTCTTTTTAATTAATTCGTTAATTTTTGGCTGCTCTGGGTATTCCTTGCTGTGCACAGGCTTTCTCTAGTTGTGGTGAACAGGGGCTACTGTTTGCTGCGGTGCACAGGCTTCTCATTACGGTGGCATCTCTTTTTTCAGAGCACGGGTTCTAGGCACTCGGACTTCAGTAGTTGTGGCACGTGGGCTCAGTAGTTGTGGCTCATGGGCTCTAGAGCACAGGCTCAGTTGTTGTGGTGCATGGGCTTAGTTACTCCATGGCATGTGGGATCTTCCCGGACCAGGGCTCGAACCCATGTCACCTGCATTGGCGGGCGGATTCTTAGCCGCCAGGGAAGTCCCAGGGCTTTTGAAATTGTTTAATCACATCTTCTGAAGCTACCTATGATTTGCTTCAGCATAGGTCATGAGTTTGACGATATAATTACATAGCGATTTTTGCTGTCTTTAATGATACCTTAGCTAGTTTTTTTTATGAACACAAATAGAATGGAGCCAATCAGAAAGCCACTGCCATGATTCTTCAGCCCATCACTGTCAATCTGCACTTTGTGCTTCTTCAGTTCAAAATATCCCTGACTTCTAGTCCCAGCTAAAATATCATATTAACTATGAGGTCAAGAAAAGTTTCATTAATAGTAATTAGTCCTTTGGGTCACAGCTACAATTTGACATTTAGTCAGTCACTCAACAAATATTAATTAAATCCCTTCCATGTTCTAGGCAAAATTCTAAGAACTGGATGTACACAGGCAAACAAACAAACAAACAAAAAGCCCACATCCTAAACAGTTCATGTTGTAGTTGGGGAATACAGGCAATGTAAATAAATAAGATCTGTTCAAGATACTGATGTGTACCTAGATGAAAATAATGTGATGATGAGTGGCTGAGACTTGCTTAGGGAAAGCCTCTGAGAGGAGAGACCCAGGGACTGAGATCCGCATGATGGGAAACAGGCAGCCACGTGAAGGTCTGAGGTAAGGTGCTCCAAGTAGGAGGAGCAGCAAGTTCAAATCCCTGAGGCAGGAATGAGCTTAGGGAGTGACTGAAAACCAGAAAGAAGGCCAATGTATTGATAGATGAAATGTAATCAATGAGGGAAATAATGAAGGGAATGAATACTGAACAGATTGACAGGATCTTGGGGGTCATCATAAGGAGGTTATATTTTATTCTAGTTCATTCTTGGAAGTCTTTGCAATGTTTTAATCATGAAATGACACGATCTAATTTGCTCTTTGAAATTATCGTCCTGGATGCCATGTGGAGAATGGAATATGGGTCATGATGTGGGTGCAGGGAAACCAGTCAGGAGGCTGATGCAATAATCCAAGAGAAAGATGATGGTGGGTTGGCTCAGAGTGGTAGCATTGGAAACAGAAGCTTTGGAGTTACCTATTGGAGGTACCAATAGGACTTACTTTCAGATTGGAATCTAGTTATGATAAAAGAGGAGAAAATAAGACTGAGTTTTAGTTTTGGTGCCCAGTTGGGTAGATTGGAAAGAATTGTGGAGGAGGAAATTCTGGAGCATGGGACAAAGTCAGTGATTCTGGTTTGGCCATGTTGACACTGAGATGCCTGACAGACATCCAAGCAGAGATAAAGTAGGTAATGACATGAGTCTGGAGCTCAGCAGAGAGGCTAGGATGGAACTGGATTAGATTAACTGGAAGAAAGTGTAGTTAGAGGAAAGAGGATGGCTGAGGACAGACTATTAGAACTAGCCAGCATTATATATAAAGGAGGAAGCAGTAGAGAAGACTAAAAAGTTGAGACCTGTGAGAGCAAGGAAATAAAGTAAGGTTGTGTGTTTGCTGTTTTGTCTCAAAAGTCTCCAAAAAAGGTGTTTCAGAAGGAGGGGACAACCAACTCTGTCGATTGCTGCTAAGAGGCAGAGAAAATGAGGAGAGAAGATGAACCACTTGGCGAGGTATAGGGTGCTGGAATGTGGAAGGAGAGGTACAGGAGAAATAAAAGTATAGAAGTAAAGAATAGATGGTAAATAATGGTAAATAATTTGGATCCAGGAGGGAGAAGGTTATGTTTGGGTAGCAAGGTGACCACCTGGGGGTGGGGGGTGGTGGACCTCACTAGGGAGCATCAGTAACTCTTTTTGAGGATGATTAGAATGACAAAGTCTAGGGGCAAAACTCAGGATTTAGAAGCAAGAGCAAAGGCTATATAACCAAACAGCCCAGACCAAATCTTGTGACTGAGTAATTGGGACTTGTTGGACTCTTGGAGCTTGCTGTGTCGCTGTCCCAAGGGAGCCTAAAGTACCCTTGTAGCTTCTGACCTATACAGTTAATTTGCCTGGTTGGCTAAGCTTCTGTCTCCTCTGTCATGAGTCCTCCACAAAACCCCCTTCCAATGATGTGCTATCAAAGAGGATGACATTCCCAACTAGAGGAGCACCACTCTTTGAGCAAGAGGATATGAGTAGAAAATTAGATAAGGTATAAATCAATCATGACAATACCAATGGGCTGCAGAAACCGGCATCACAGCAGTGTAGAACAGGTCACGGGGAGATTGATACGATCCCACTTGAGCAGATACTAGAACCTGCAATGATGAGGGAAAGGGAAATAGTGAGAAGAGACTTGATGACGCGTAACTCCACTAGACTAGAAAGCCTGGTATTAAAGAAAGCTTCAATTTTGAGTTGGGAAATGTAGGTTTGGGTGAAACTGCAGAAAGTCTGAATGTCAGGTTAAGACACTTGGGCTATATTTGCTAAGAACGAGATCCCAAGGTTTGTGAACAAGATGATGTGATGATCAAAATGGTAAAAACATAAAGGGAAACTAGTCAAGCATTCAGCTTGACTATTACAGCTTGAATATTACATTATGCCTGTTGAGATATGCTCATAGCTCACTATAAGGAAAAACTATGCATCAGGATTTCGTGAGGATAGCTTTTCTTTATCTTTTTTCTTTCTTACTTTCTCCCTTTCTTTCTTTCTTTCTTTTTTTTTTTTTTTTTTTTTTTGTTTTTTTGCTGGTATTCTCCTGGAGAAAGAAAACATAGAATGTCTTTCACACAGCTTACCCCAACCAAAATCAAAATGACCTGCTTCAGAAGGAAAAGAAGGAAATTCCTCCCCTTCTTTTATAAAATAAAAAAATTGAGTTATTTGTAGTGAGGTGGGTGGACCTAGAGTCTGTCATACAGAGTGAAGTAAGTCAGAAAGAGAAAGATAAATACCGTATGCTAACACATACATATGGAATCTAAGAAAAAAAAAGGTCATGAAAAACCTAGGGGCAAGACGAGAATAAAGACACAGACCTACTAGAGAATGGACTTGAGGATATGGGGAGGGGGAAGGGTAAGGTGTGACAAAGTGAGAGAGTGGCATGGACATATATACACTACCAAGTGTAAAATAGATAGCTAGTGGGAAGCAGCTGCATAGCACAGGGAGATCAGCTCAGTGCTTTGTGACCACCTAGAGGGGTGGGATAGGAAGGGTGGGAGGGAGGGAGACGCAAGAGGGAAGAGATATGGGGACATATGTATATGTATAACTGATTCACTTTGTTATAAAGCAGAAACTAACACACCATTGTAAGGCAATTATACTCCAATAAAGGTGTTTAAAAAAAAAAAATGGAACTTTTCTCTCTAGCCTACCTTTTTATCCTGGCTATAGCTCCTATGATTCTATAGGCTTGAAGCAATGATAATTAAATATTCTATTTCTGCAAAATGGAATGACTAGAAAATATTATATAAAATCTCTGGTCACACCCTAATGCCATTTATATGAAGACATAAAGGAGGTTATTACTCATGTCTGACCACAGTTTCCAGAGCCTGAAGGAGACTGGAAGGATGTTACATCACACTTAATCAACCCTGCAAGTCAGAGCTTGATTTTGGCTGCCTGGTAACTTCAGGCTATGTTTATGAGATGGGACAGGGTTCAGTCAGTTTGAATTCAATTGCTGGAATAGAAGGAATATGTTCCCTTGCACAGAATCATACAGGAGAGAATCTCTTCTAGAAATACTCCAAAAACAGACTTACTAAACTGCCTGATCCTTCCTTGCCTTGGGCCACAGTTTTTCTAGTTTTTCAGTTTACACAGTACATTTTCCTTTTTTCTGCACACTGCCAAACATGGCCCTAGGATTTCTTCTCTACTTTAGCTAGCTTGTATTATCATGTTTCCCCCCCAAATTTCAATGATGGCAACATGCCTCTTTTTGGATCACATAAGCCTTCGGGAATTTAATATCTTTTTAAAGAAAATAACACTGAGCTGCTATATAAACAGAAGTTTAAAACTAAACGAATTTTTTTCAGAAGTCAATTTTATTTTACAAATAAAATTTGGAAATTTTATTTACAAATATAACAGGAAGACATGTAATTTTTTTCTCAAAAATATCTAGAAATTTTACTATAAAATATAAAATCAGGAAGGCTTCAGAAACATTGTTTCAACTAGACAGAATTCCTCATGGGCCTTCTCTTTTTTCCTTTTTACACTTCTCAATAAAGCGTAAGCTCTGCACCAGGAAGCAGCAGCTTCAAACACCCTGAGCCCATCTGTGCATTTATAGAGAGGTGGAACAGGAGGATAACTTTTTTTTTTTTTTTTTTTTTTTTTGCGGTACGCGGGCCTCTCACTGTTGGTGGCCTCTCCCGTTGCGGAGCACAGCCTCCGGACACGCAGGCTCAACGGCCATGGCTCACGGGCCCAGCCGCTCCGCGGCATGTGGGATCTTCCCTGACCGGGGCACAAACCCGTGTGCCCTGCATCGGCAGGCGGACTCTCAACCACTGCGCCACCACGGAAGCCCGAGGATAACTTTTAAATCACTAAAACCTGGTAGTATCGGAACTGTGGATAAATGGAAAAATGAAGAAAATTCTTAGCATGTATTCCAAATCAAATACTAAAAATTCAGAAATAGGACTCCTTATAAAGGGAGTTATGCCAAATTCAGACATACTGGATCCCTGCATCACTGAGAGTGTGGCTAGTACAGCCGTGAACTGGGAAGTGATTATTAGCACATCTCTGGTCCAGGATTTCACTTATAAATCAGTAGCATTTATCATGGGCCAACACTGCAGTGTGTTTTGTCCTTTGTTAGAAATCTTGCTCCACCCCTGTCTGCCTTTCTCTCTCCCCTCCTCTATCACACAGTTGTCAGTCTCTTGAAGTGATTACCAAGGGGAAAACCATATGTCAAGCTATGTATTTCTGGCTCATCTAGGACTTCTTCATATGCCCTTTTTATCATCTTTCTTTAGATGGTCAAAATTAAATTATATGTTCCTCTTCCTTTACTACTATTTTCCATAAATTATATGAAGAATATAATTTTCAGTTTAAAATGGGAAACTGATATCAAAAGAGAATAAAATAGATTTTTCTCAAAAGCATGTATTGAGTAATAAGAATGGAGTAAAGCACCTAAACATCTTAAAGCTATATGGAGGTGGGGTAGGGAGGGTGGGATGGAG